CGCAGCGAACTACGCTCTATGAAGCATCTGAAGGTTTTCTTCCAGATTGGTATGAAGCGGCCGTGATGCTGCATGCATACATGGGTACACATATGCAGCCGTATCTTCGGTAGCGGTGATTGGTAAGATGCCTACGGGAAACTCGTCCGAAATCGATTTACAAGTCACTGAGAACGGAGGCTTTTTCTTCGCAGGATTTTGACCGTTTCACTCCGTTCTTTCGCCATTTCCCCACTATACAGCGCCCTACTAGCATTTTAGGCTAAGTAGGAAACCATCGTGCCAACTGCCTTTAAGTCAGGAGCCAGAGCCACCTTACTCCCTCAGCTTGAAATCTTCCAGTTTTTGCTTGAAGACATAGTGTAGGCTACTTGTAGCTTTCCTCAATGTGGTTTCCGGCTCACCAGCCAAACGTGTAAGTGCTGCAAGCTACAGCATAAAAGCTGTCAAGCTGATCGAGTAGGAGGCGGCCCTGGTGGCATATTGCCGCATTCGTCGAAGAAGCGTGAGGTGGGGGCTCAAGGTCCGCTTCTGAGTCAAGATTTGCCCATAGCAGCAGTATTGTGATAATGTTCGAGACACAAACTGTGGCACTGAACAATGGTTATCATAATAAAACATCTCCAAGCAAAGAATTTCATAAGATCTGAATATTCCAGGATCGGATGCCGCCAGTCTTCGCACCACTGCAAGGCGTGAAGGTGACTATTACGTTGTCAATGGTTCCAAAGCTTTCATCAGTGGAGCCGGTGCTTCGAAGATGTAGGTATTCGGTGAATTAATACTTTTTGGAAGTGATAGAACACTCGAAACTGGAACATTGTCGAAATCCTCGGTTCACAAGTTCCTTTTAGTTACTTGGTGATGGTGCGGCACGATGGCCAACCAGGAGCGAAAGGTATCTTCTGCCTGCTGATCGAAGATGGCATGGAAGGATTTTCACAGGCCAAGAAGGAGAGTAAACTTGGTTGGAATACTCAGCCCACTCGCATTATTACTTTTGAAGATGTGAAGGTGGGTGGTATGCGAGGAATCATTGAGGAACCACGTTTGTACCTGACCCCATTTAAGGTACCAGTATCAAACCAGATTGGACCAGATAACTATGGCTTCAATATTGCCATGGCTGGCATCAACGGTGGTAGGGTGAACATTGCAAGTTGCTCACTTGGAGCTGCCCAACAAAGTCTTGATTTGGCTATCGAGCATCTGAAGGTTTTCTTCCACATTGAGTGATTCGTTTTGTTATTGTACTGCAATAGTTCTTCAGGTGCGGAAGCAATTCGGAAAGACATTATCGGAATTCCAATGGAATCAATTTAAGCTGGCGGAAATGGCAACAAAACTGTACAGCAGCAGGTAAATAAATTCTTTCTTTGCCTTGTTTATGGTATTGGGTACTTACGGCTTTAAAAGGCAGTTGGTACGATGGCTGAGAGCAGGCGGTTGCTCCAGCGCCATAAGTGCAAGAGCTGAATGGGTGTGGACGAATCGAGCGCTTCATTCTCAGTGCTAGTGAATGAATAGTGACCCTATAAGGGGGGCAACAAAAAACAAAAACTCTTCTATTTTCTTCGACTTTCACGAGCGCCCGCCTCATACAACCTTTCACACTTTATGAATTCCTCATCGACACAATGCTCACCCCGCCCCCATCTCGAAATGCAGCCCATATTGACCTCTGAACTCCCCACTGCCTTCCTGGACGAACGCCCATCCGAGAGATTCTGACACCGCGACCCCGCGATGTGGTTTCCCCTGAGTTCGAGCCGAGTGATGACGACCGTCGAATTTCTCCCGTCCACCCTGCGTCCGACCACCCCTAGTTGAATCCGCCGAAAGGGTAGTTGAGGGAGTATAGGTCGAGGTGACCCCCTACCTCTCGCGATATCTCCACCTCGTCCTCTCCGCACTACTCGACACGCCGCCCTTCCAACATCACTCTCCCGACCATCGGCGAAAGGCCTCTCTTACCTCTATCTCGCCCCAGTCATCCCCGCCGAAATCCGCCGCTTCCTAGACGCGACACTATCTCATCTTCCGGTCCCTGGGCAGAATTCGCTGAAAAGTTGGCTCCAGGGGTAGTTCGACCCGCTGAACACGAATATCGCATCCGCTTGACTCGAACCTCCTGGCGCCCGCGCCACGGGCAGCCGGCGCCAAAATAGTCGATAATTCACAAATTCGCTGAAAACTTGCTCCCAGGGGTAGTTCGACCCGCTGAACACGAATATCGCATCCGCTTGACCCGAAACCTCTTGGCGCTCGCGCCACGGGCGCCCGGCGCCCAAAACACTCTGAATCACTAAAGTATGATGAAGTACGTTCAGAGCCATGGGAATTAGCTAAAGTGAGCAAAGGGTTTCCCAGTCAATAGGTCACTTTTGAAGGGGTCACAGAGAAACCTAATTCGGCCCCACACGATTCCGTGGGAAATCCCATTTCCCACGAGCTTGCGTGTGAAAGCTGGGCGAGCGCGGGATTTTCGAAGAAGCGTTGGTCATGCATTTTTTCATGCAATATGGGAGTGGTATTACCAGTGGCCGACTCAGGCGGGTCAAACTACGCCTAGGGCAAGTTTCAGGAATTATGGTGATTTCTGAGTATTCCCTTGGCGCCGGTGCCGTGAGCGCCGGGCGCAAGTATGTTTCTGTAGTCAAGCTGGTGGATTTATTCGTGTTCAGGCGGTCGACTACCCGCCCGGAGCCAAACTTTCAGCGAGATTCTGCTTCACGGAAAAGAAGTGTCAGGAACCGGGCCTGATTTCGATAGGCTTGGGGCAGCGAAGGGCTAAATGTGCCGGCGAAAGTTTTTTCCAAGGCCTTCGAATCCATGTGGTGTCACCACTGAATCTCTGTAGCACTAGAAAGATTCCAAGAAGGTACGTGCGACGACATGAAGGGAAGATATTCTCCACGAGCTGCTCGATCACCGCCAGTGCTCGCCTTTACTCCGGAGTAAACGAAGAAAATGTAGGTCTTTCCATACCAGGTACTTCCGGGTCATTACCACCAACCCGCCTTGGCGACTGAGGTGAAGATGATGTCCTAGACCGTAGCGACGTTGTCGGAGCTGCTCGATGTTGGAGGTCTTCCAGATCGAGAGTACTGGTCTCCAGGTAGCTATCCATGGGTGACTCCATACCAGAAGTTTCGCAGCTGTTTGGAGGTGACGTGAATTTCAAAGGTCTTCTCCAGTCAGACTGCTACTGGAGATGACTTCATATTTTGGTGTACATGAAGTGATGGGCGAGAGCCAGCTCCTGCTTATCGAGGAACATCTTGGGTATCTTCCGCCCTGGTACTCGTATCCACGTCCTCTGTCTGGGCTGCGAAAACTTTGCTATGTGACTCGATCGAAGTGACTTTTTTACTGGTCCCCCTGTATATCTGGTTGTAGAGTTCAGAGCGAGGGTAAAGTAGGAAGTCTGCTCTACTAGTCGATTCGAGAGACGCAAAAGCTGAGAGAGTGCAATATCGTGCCACTGCAACGTTGAGTGGATTGGGTCCTGGTGCGATACTGCGAACGTCACCCCTCTTGCAACTCCTATTTTTCCTTTTTTCGTCGAGAACTTGGACGTAACGCTCCATACTCTGGAATGCAGCACTCGCGACATCGTTTGCAGCACCACCTCCGCCCTCCAGGCTCGGTTGTACTGAACTGCTCTCGCAATCCTGACAAGTTTTGTTTAGTTGGACTATTGCAACTGTAGGCCGAGGTGGTATAATGGCAAGTGGCCGGCTTACTATGCGCACTCAAATTCTGGATCGGCTCTCGCCTAGGTCAACCAATCCTTCCACCCTCCTCCAACGATAAACTGGAACCAGATTCGTCTGAAAGGATAAAAACGCTCGGCCGGCATTGTATGGGCGCATCGCATACAATGAGCGACTACTGAATGAAGGTAGAATACATACCGCATCCTACAAAGGGCTTGATCAAGGGCGAAGACTATATCTGTTTTCTCATGGCACTTGAATTAGCAGTTACCATCAGTAACCTTGTTTCTTGTGCCTAATTTCTTTACTTTCAACACATTTCTCTTCTACGAATGCCTTTTTTCATGACCAATTGCCAACAGTTTCCGGGCACGATACTAAAAAGTTCTACTGATATCAAATCCCTTCAACGGCTTCAGTTCCATGTTGTCGTTCCATTTGCATGTTTAGATCTTCACAGCAGATTACGGGTAGATGAGCATCATTCAACAACGCCGGTGCTTGATTCCACCGTATTTACCATCCACTCGAACCCTGACAAAAATAAGGTTAATGAACATTCCATGAGTAGAACGATGCTCCTTGGAAATTACCGTCATCTTATATCTAGCGCCCTTGTACGGTACTGCAACTGTACGGTGGTTCACACAAGGTCGGTGATATTGTGCCT